TGATTGCCCGTCTTCGCCCGTGGCTGTCCGTACTGTATTGTGCTACCACCATTTATTTGAGCGAAAAATGTGCTCTAATGTCAGAGCAGCGTCGCGACCGTTTGCACGCAACGAAAGAATTCTCAGATCAGGTGGCCGTTCAATGGACGCTGCGCTGTCGCGCTCCCACGCCAATCAAAATTGCGCGAACTGAAATCATTCAAATTTGCGTTGTGATTGTAGTCTACCGTTTTTTATCCTTTGCTTAATTCCTTTATTATTTGAAAGCCATGATTTCTCTTCATTCTATCTGCGCTTTCAAAATAAGGCCATGGGAAAACCATTTTCACCAAGTGGAATTCGCCCAAATGAAAAAACCTCTTGTCCTGTTTGGTTTGCTTTTAAGCTTTTTTCCTGTTGCTTTTAAGCAGTGAGCTAGAAAATTTAGTTGATGCCTGTGGGCGAATAAATGCTCAGGGATTGCCCGAGTCATTGCCGAAGTGTTCAGTGCAACCTTTTTGAAAATGAAATTGCCGAACATTTTCGATTGTACGCTTTTGGCATTTAAACGTGCTTACTTGATAATTATTTGTTCAGCACGTAGTGATATTTATAGATGTAGAATTATCAGGTAAATGTAAGAAAGTGATAAGTTCTGCCACTTTGCCATGATATTATCTCTCAGTTGCTCTAGGTTCATTTTTTATTCATTCTTCCGCAGGTTGGTCTAATGTTCTTTGGATGTGGTTGTTTAAACCATGCTATTTTTCTCTGCTATGGAAAGCCATTTTTCATCGGCGACAACAATATCTTCCTTTGCTCCTGTTACTGTTTTCTTTAAACGCTTTGGGACATTTTTTTCGCTTTGAAGAAGAGTTTGCGATTTGCGGAAATAGATCGATGCTTAGGTGGTCCTTTTCGTAAATTTTTCATTTCTGCTATTCGTCAGCTCTTCAGAATTCGGCAGTTCTTCAGAGCGATAATATCTGATCCTTTTCGTCAATTCTTCACTGTCACAAGGTGTGGATCGACCATAGGTCCGCAGTCCGATACGCTAGTGTTGCATGTTAGGACATGGCACGGCGTTGCTACACTCCTCTTGTCACTCCAACATCGAGAAACTGTCTTACGACCTTTTCTCCACCTTTTCTACACCGTTTTTCCACCACTTCGCCATTTTTTCATTTTTCCTCGTTTCGTGTGTCTCTTTGCGGTGAGGATGGGGATTTTTGCCTGGGACAAGAAGGGGCTCTGGTATAGTGGGCTTTTTGCCTGGTACAAGAAGGGGCCTCTGGTATAGAAGATCTGTCTCATCATGCAGCAGAGAAAGCCGGCTTTTCGAATTTCATGAGACTGTTCACGCTTCCAGAACTTCGTCGCTCTTCTTGTAAACGATCGTGGTCCTACGTAACGTATTACAGAGCGGACCATATAGGTCAACTGTACGTTTTTCCTTTTCCTTATGACATTTTTGCTGCTGGGAGGTTCACGCTTTTCGCTATGATTTGCACTAAATCTCATATGACCTCTACCATTTTCGGGGTTTATGAGGTTCGTAAACGATTAGAGTGCTTTCATACTTTGCGTGAGCGTTTTAAGCGAATAGGAAGTGTGGCACCTAGCCAAGTTTCTAGCCGGTCGCCAGCTGATTGAACGTTTCTAGCGTCCAAGAAAAAGTGAGATCGCTCAAAACTGCGCGACCTCAAAACCTCCCACAAGTATGATTGCCACTACTTTGCTCACATCTTGGCGAGATCGCCTTGTAGGTCTACCAAGCGCTGTGACAAAGTAGTGCCGCTGTTGGACCGTATCCTGTAGCTTGTTTTTCTGTTCTTTTTTCTGTTCGTCTGTGGTTTCTTGCGCCCAGCAGCGTGTCGCTTCGTTGAATACTCGTCAAATCCTGGCATCCTATTTAAAACCATTTTATACAAGAAACTGAGAAGACGGTTTTGTTTCCTCTTTTCTACGGTTTTCGCATGGCTGTTACACATGCGGGAGTCTAGTCTTCGGACCGGCTTGCCGTGTGGAATGACTCTTCGATACGGCTGGGGACCGTAAACTGGACTAAGCGTTCTGAGAGGTTATTAACATGGCTTGTACATTGACTGGCTGCCGCAAATCTTTGCATAGGCCATATCGCGTTCAGTAAGTCCCGAATCAGACATTCGCAAACGACTGCATCACGGCAACAAGCTTCTTATCCTTAATTTCGACTTCCGCCAATGTACCTTTTCCCATCTGAGCAAATTAAATGACGAATTCGGCGTCGGTCAGTCTCTTTTGAGATCCGGACACGCATCTTCTCTCACACAAAATCGTAATGGCTACTGAAGTTGGTGGTCATATAATGCCCTGCGGGGCCCAAACATACAAGTCAGTGTTCTATACCCCATCCCAGACAAGTTTGTGGCTACCAGATTTTACTGTCCACCAAGGTTAGAGGGCTTGTTTCGGCCTCGCGTTGAGCGATCGAGGTTTTACTCCTTGTCTGCGTGCGATAACAGTGCCGCTTGCCACCACAATCAGCTTCACCTCCTGTCACGAGATAGGGACATTCAAACGCTACCTGTGCTGATCCCAATATTTCCAACTTACCTTGTTCTCTACGCTTGTTCAGCAGTGTGGGTTATCCAACATGAATCCTAAAACTATTGATTATTAAAGAAAATCCCTGAGCTAGAGTGAGAAATTTGTAGATTGATTGGAAGCTCATGATCTACAGCTGTAGATAATGTTAAGTCACTTTGGGTCTCGAATTTGAATAAAGCAAATAGCAGAATCCGTAATCGTTTGGCTCTACTTCGGTTATAAGGTGGTAAGCATAAGTAATTTTGTGAATGTCGAAGAATCCGTGGCTCTCTTGGCCATAATTTTCTTAGCTAAATGTGGTCTTTTGCAGTGATGGATCGACAGCGCAAAAGTCGTCGAAGTTCGGTATGTTTCTTATTTCGGTCGTGCAGTCTTATGCTCTTAGGACGCTGGTGTTCCATAAAGGAGAGGGGAGGGGGGGGGGGTAGTGCCGGATTTGACGCCGCCCAGCCTATTCACCAGCAACGCCAACCAGCTTCCACAATTTATGGAGAACGTGAACGCTGCGCCATATCCGACCCCCCCCCCTTCCCAGGAACGTCCCGCGTCCATAACGAACAAGACTGTAATTAACTGAATATTTATCGTTCTTTCAACACAGATTCTGAAAATTCGACAAACGGAGGTTGTATCGGAAAAGGTCACAGTTGAAGATGACACCGCAAAGCAAGTAATGAAACGACGTGTCAGTTTTCATAATGTGAAAACTGTGCAGTAAGTTGATTTCTTACCTTCTCACGTTCCTTCAACTATTCATGGAACTTACTTATGTTTCTGGTAAAGTTCATATTTCATATCTTTTGTAGAAACTTTGAGAAGGACAATTTGAATCTGTTAGATGGCTCACCATTTCGAGAAAAAATTCAGGAGACGATGAGTTCAGATGGGATTTTAACGTATGTAGCGTTTGATTTCCCAGTGGTTTTGAAGTTTCCTCATGTCTCTGTTAGGCGCTGGTGTAGTGCAGGTGTGTTCTTACCTTCCTAAGAATCGGGAATCACATAGTCCTTTCCGCTGCGGATGTGGGTCTTGTCAAGGGAGATGGGTTTGGCGTTTTTTTTCCGGCGAGCGACAAAAACGTATCAAGTCGTTCAAATCAGTGGTTCCTAATCAGTTCTTGTCGCTTACCCTCTTCAACATTGGTGGAACGGGTTGACGGCGCGCCAAACCAAGCCTCGCTGACACACCCCATCATCTATAGCGAACAAGACTGTAACACGCTAATGAAGAAGCCTGATTTTCCACTGTTGATGACGTCTCAAGACACGTCATTGACATGTGCGTACGTCAATGAAACGTCGTTTATGCTTCACAAGGGCGGTCTGCATGCGCACATCGTACCCTTGCGATTCAATGTACATTGTTAATTCGACACGATCTCTTATAGTAGTTATTTAAGCCCTGGAAAAGCTTCATGTTAACACCGAACTCCAAACACGGATAAATCGCGCAGAGGGCTTCAACTTTTCAATAGGACAGCACAAGCTTTGTTTGAAGTAGGTCTCTGCGTAAAACTTCGCGGAACTACGTTGTCTTGGCACGCGTACGAGAATCGAGTCAAACCGCGGCGATCATAGATTTGATACCGATGTTCAATGAGTACGAAGGTGAACGTATCGATCTGATGAATCGGAAATTTAGCGAAAGAGATTAGATAGCCGTCGATTGACTCGGCTCAACTGAAGAATTGAAAAAAAACCGATAATTTGAAGACCTATCTAGCCTCTTTTCGTGACTTCCTTGATTCTTCTGATTCATACTGTTGCTGTCTTTTTCATGAATCCTCCAATTCTCCAAGTTCCGCGATTCTCCGATTCTCGTGTGGTGCAAGGTCTGAACGCAACATAGACATCAGAAATGCGGGCGCGCGCTTCGTGGTGCCTATCCTTCCGTGGACATGCGGGAGGATGCTTCTCTCCATGGTTAGTTTCTACCTGAAACAGCTTCCACTCAGTGTTTGCGGTAAGAGCATGATGGCAAAAACCGAAAACACGAACAGATTGTTTGAAGCGCTGCCGCCGTCAATTATTCAGCGCAGAACGCAACACGCCCCTCCATCCTCGGATATGGGGTTTAATAGCCGTTACTTCCTCCGGTTATACGTACGTGCTTACAGAGGGTCCTCCGAGAATTCCCCGTTTGGATTTTGATGATGTGACAAAGTACACAGCAGCAGATATGTCAATCTGTGATACGACTGTTCGACAAGGTAATCCTCTTCTAATATGGCATCTTTTGTCTGATGGCTTGGCCTGAATCTTCCCCTTCCCATTATTTTGCAGTCAAGAACTTGTTTTTAGATGTTCCTTCCCCGGTAGATATGTCTCTGTGCCAAACAACTTGTGAACAGCCTGGTAAGTACACTTCTTCCACGTTGGTGATATCTGCTCCAAACATGGTTTCTTGAAGAATCTTCTCGACCTAGCGGCAGCCAATCCGACCGCACACAGTATAGCTGTGTTGACATGTCTTTTAGCACTACAGCCACTGGTAGGTTCCTTCGAAATGAGTTTTTTTTCCACGCGGTTGACCCCTAGAGGCTCCAATTTCTATGGACCTAAATGCTGTAGCTTTGACAGGTTCGAGCGACGACACTTTGGCCTGATTGGAAGTCCCATGCTAGAAAAAGTGCCAACCAGCAGGATCGCCGATCTATGGACTACGGTACTATCTTTTTCACCGTTATAGACATTCTTAGCCGTTACGGTTAGAACGCGATCGTCATGCGCCGCAGAGCTTTAGCTGCATCCCCTGCGCAACCTGAGTTGTGGAGAAGAACCGGCGGTTATTACAGCCCGGTTCGCTGCGGATCATGGACGTTTAGCGAGCGCTGCGTTTGGCCGCCGGCGCCAATCCGCTTTTTTTTTTCTTTACGCGTCGGCGGAGCGACAGAACAAAATCTGTATAATATTGTTCATTTCAGTAGTTTTCACTACTTAGTCACTTATTCCGCTCAAAGAACTAGTGCGAACGGATTTGGCAGCGTGCCAAAAGCAGCCGCGCGGACACGCCCACCAACCGCAGCGAACCAGATTATGCAGTCCTTTCTGGCTTTGAGTGAGAATTCGCTGCCTCCCTCACTCTTGAGGGGTGGTCTTGATGTGTCGATTTTTGTGCTCCGTAGACAGGATACAACATCGAAAGATGGCGGTATTAGACGATCCCCATTAATTCCTCAGGTACGGCCTGCCCCCCCCCTCCCATCATACTGATCATCTAACCATCGACCCGGGTTTCTCCAGTCCTCCACCACCTTCCTAAAAGTTTTTTCCAGTTCTATCTTTCACTGATAAGCCCCGCTCCTTAACAACCAAGTACGACCCCCTCCCCCTCCCCCCTAATGGGATTATCCCGACGATCTGTACCATGTCCGTATCCGTAGAGCTGCATGTTTTTCTTCAAAGGTCCGACCTACTGGGTAGAGCTTGGTATCGGCTTGTTTCTCCACGACTTGTTGACAACCTGCCAATGATCTGTGGCACTTTATCAACCGTGTTTTGATCTCCATATGATCGAAGTTTTCGTCTTCGAAGAGAAAAGAGTTCAATAACTCAGTCGCGTTACAGGTGGAGATTCAATGGCGGACATGTCGAGACGTACTTCAAATGACACGGTATGGTTTTTGGTCCATTCACATGAAAAAAATTGTTTTTGTGCCTATTTTTCCTATATCATTTTCTTTTTTGAAGTTCGCATGTTTGAACATTCAACCTGGTCAATCTATCCCGGGTCTGCAGACTCCACGCTGGACCCAAAGTACTTGCGATAAGGTGGCGACACTTTTATTTTTCAATGTTTGGTCGGATGATTTAGCTTTCTTCATTCTTCCCGTTTCAGTCCTCCATTTCAACGTTTGACGACGATACTGCGCTTGTCTTTGAAAAAGGAAATGCATTGTCGAATGGAAAGCAGGAGCCGGTGTGTTCCTTTTCTTACTGTAAAGATGCGTTCATACTTTGCTCAGCTTTTCAAGCGTACACCAGCATGCTCTCAAAATGGTGGATCTACACCTTGCCAGTGGCACGAAACGCTCAAAACGCTGCCGCAAAGTATGAACGCACTATAAGCGGATCAGCAGATTTCTGACAACGGAATTATTGATGTTTTCAGCAACAATGCAACACCGTCTTCAATACCTCCTCGTTTATGTCAGAGTGTACTGACGCTGGCGACACGATGAGAGTTTTCGATTGTTTGGTTGGTGCAGATTACTTGCAGGTCTTATTTTATCATATTGCCTTCCTGATTAGCTAGTTTTCATTTAGATGCCGAATGTGGGCGCTGGAGATATGGCGGAGCACGATAGATCTCGTGAAAGGACCGCTATGGCGATGGTATGAAGTTTGCTTTTGAGACCATTGTTTATACATATAGTGTAGTTCGCTGCGGACGGTTGGGCGTGTCAGGCGGGATGAGTTTGGCGCGGTGCCAAACCCGTTCTCCACCAGTTGTTAAAGCGAGCAAGTGATATGACTGTATCATATCGTTCGTATTACTCGTTTTCTACCACTTTTTGTCGCATGCGCGCTTCAACAAGAAGGCAGAGAACGGCTTTGACGGTGACACACTCATACTGCCTGACGCGCCCAACCGTCCGCAGCAAACTTTATTATAGTTGCTTCCACGCTCAGTAGCAAATGCAGAATTCATCGCTCGTTTTGGACCATTCTCCGTATTGTCTAAGGCACCGTTCAGACTTCGCGATAACGCGCTACAATTGCTTGACGCGAAGTAGTCGCAAACGGGAATCGATCGGCGCCGGCCGCTT